TTAAAGGAACATACACACCCATGCACGCACATGCAGGAGTCAGTTTGGTGACAGGGCAGAGCAGGGAAGATAGCCTGGAGCCTGTGACTATTCCCAAAGCTTGGAGCTATGAGGGGCAGAGCAGAGAAGCCAGTGATGCTGGCCAGGTTAGGACCTTACCATGGAGGCGGGGGAGCCTCTCCTCTAGGTACAGCATGGATGCTGATTTGAAGGAGCTCAAGAGTCGAGACTAAGTGGGGAGCGTTATGAGACTCTGAAAAGTGTAAATAGCTGCAGAACTAATTTCTGAGGCACTTTTTGCAACTCAAATCAAATAGAAGTAGGAAAATAAGAATCTCGAGGCTTTATAAGATTAATGTCAGAAAACAGCCTGGCACTGAGCAAATGAAAGATTATGACAAGTTGAAACCTCATTTTTCTTTCTTTTCCAAAAAATAATAATAATAAAAAAGTCATGCCAGTTCTTCTGCAGAATCACTTCACACGGAGCCAGAAATCGTTCAGAACCCAAGCCATGGCTCTGCCGAGTGGTTTTCGTGTTCCAAGCGTACATATGTTGCACAGAGCATCTAATTATTCTTAGGGACAATTACTGTCAGGTTCCAAAATGTGCTCAATGAGCAGCAATTGGTGTTTATTCAGCTTTTAAAAGACTATGCAAGGGAACAGTAGTTTATATTGTCTGCCTGAAGAAGCATTTTGCCATCCGGAAACATCTGCTTTCTATTTAAAGCCGTGGAGAAGCAATGGGAGTGTATCTCAGATATACTTACTCCCTGAGCACTGAACACCGAAGAAAGGGGGATGAAATTGGATCTGAAGGTGGTTTCTGGTCTCTGATCCGCACTGTTCTGTTGGGCCCTGCTGCGAAGGACCCGTGGCCCCGTCTGTTGCGGAGCTCTGACTCTCTTGACTCTCCTTATTCTGATTTGCGCCCACATAGGACCTGACAGTGATGTCCTAGATACAGCACCTGTACTTCCTCAGAGGCTAAATTAGCTTTCAAAGCAAAGTCGGGGTCGGTTTCTCTGAAGTGAAAGAACCCCAGTTGTGGCTTTTTTTTTTTTTTTTTTTTTTTTTTTTTTTTTGGTTGCTTGGTGTCACCTTGTGGCCCTGAGCTCTTTGTGTGGATAACTCTGTCTACACACAGCTGTTGGGAGGGCTGAATGAGGATAATGCCATCCATCCATGTGGTGTGTTGTAAACTTTCCGTGAAGGACAATGTCTGAGACCTCTATCTCACTGTAATGAAGTACACATCCAGCAGCTTAAACAAACCGTGCTTCTGTAGGGCAGGAGTCTGAATGTCCTTAGCTGCGAGCAGTCCTGTGTCCAGTACTGCGATCAGGTATGGGCTGAAGTCTCACGTGAAGGCTTGATTGCAGAAAGATCAGGTTTGGAACTCACATGGTCGGTGGTAGAATTCCATCCTCTGGGGATGTTGAACCAAGGGCCACAGTTGTTCTCTGGCTGGAGTCTTCCCAGTGCCTTGCAATGTGGGACTCCTGATATCTCTGAAAGCCAGCAACAGCAAGTTATGGGAAAACAAGTTGCAATCCAGTATAACTTAATCACACAAGTGTCACCTTTGCTATGTATCCCAGTGCAGGAAGCTGAGGTAAGAGGATCACACGTTGGAGGTCCTTGGAGACTAAAAGAGACCCTGCCTAAAAATCCCTAGGCCCCAAACAAACAAATGAAAAAAGGCCAATACAAATGGCCTCTCACTTGCATGCAAGGGGAGGAGATTACATTGGCAACCATGCCACGCACTGTACTGCCACAGCTACTATCTTAACTATTCTTCCAGGACATGGTTAAGCGGGAGTTAAAGTTTCCAAGTATACTACTTACTGTGTGACCCAGGCGGGTCTTTTGGCCGTTCTGATCCTGTCTCCCCCACCTGTGTTCAGCACTTTTCCTCTCGGGATTATTGTGATCCTAAATGAGAAATCCCACATGCAGAATGCTAAGCAGTTGGTAAATGTCAGCGCCTGGCTGTTCTTTTCATCCTGGCCTTCCCCCCTCCTCTTGAAATAACATTAGACTTTCTGAATATCAGAATAGCTTGGGACTCCCCAGTACTCGATTGGGTTATTCATGTGGAAAGCCTAGCCCTGTGGGTGGCTCCCTGGGTACAGAGCTTCAGTATGTGAAGGTCGAGGTTCTGTCTGTCCCCATCCTCCCTACACAGACCCCCACCTGTGTTTGCTGGGACCTGGGCCAAGGAATGTAGTTCGGTGACCTCAGTAGAGCCACAGGTTTTTGGTACAGTCCCAACAGTGTCCCTCCTCAGCCTCTTCTGTAGAAGGCCTGGCTGTGGTGACTGACCAAGGGTGTGTCCGGATGCACCCATTGTACCTCCCCCCCTCCGTGTATCTCTTCCTAGCTAAGGTTCTGATGGCAGCTCCAGACTTTCTGATGCAGGTCTAAGAGGACATATTTGGGGATAGGGGCCTTTGGTCTGAGTGCTAAGTCGTGCCAAGCAGACAGCAGGCATCTTTGGCTGTATCAGGTCACAAGCTCTGCCATCTTACCTTGCCTTGTCATCTTACTCCCTGCATCTCTCCACTTGGCCTGCCTGCCTCACTTTCTCACTGCTGCCGGCTTTAAAGACAGAGTACTGGAGAAAGTCATTGTGGGAACGCCTAGGCCGCCTACCTTCTCCCCCTTCCTCCCTGATGAGAACCTCCTCCTCCCTTCAGCCCCCTCTCCCAATCCCTTCCTTCCTTCCACACAACAGGTTCTTGGTCCACTGCAGACCCCAGAGCTGTAGAAGACCTTTAAGGAGTGGATGAGCCACAACAGCCAACCATGTCATTCTAGGTGAGGGATGCTGGCTGCGGGGACCTGTCCTCTATTGTTTTCCAGATCCTTGGGTAGTGTCTAAGGAGAGCGCTTCCTCACATTTTTGGAAGATAACAGTTACCTAGAATTCTTGTTATAGGAGAGGCCGCAGGTCCTTTACTAGAGAGTCAGGTGCTGTGAGCTAGGACAGGCTTGGGAGCTAGTAGTTTTAGTAATCATGACTAATTGCTATCATGAAGCTTGGGCAAACTTGTGTCCACACACTGCATGCTTGTACACAGCCCTAGCCCCTTCCTCAGGGAGGGAGCAGGAATAGACCTGAAAGCCTGGGGGCTCTGTCCCTGAAAGGGGCTCTGACCTGTGGCCTACTGTTTGGTGCCATAAGAGAGTGCAGGAGAGAGCAGTATGATTGAATCTGCCAAATTCTCTGTAGTGACAGCTGTTCGTCCCTCCTTCCTCTCCCATATGCAGATCATTGCATGGGAGCGTGTTTTTCTTTATAGTGTTGTGTTTTGATGATTAGAAAGCTACAGTGCTAGCTTGTGAGTGGCACAGCTGGGACATCCAGACGGCAGACGTCTCCACATCATATTCGTGAGGGTGTGCTCCACACAGCTTGGCCTCTTGACAACAGATGTGAAACATCACGGCTAGGATCTTCCTTTTGTTTCTACAGCTGTCAGCCGCTGGGAGGCTGTGGGTTTGGGTTGAGGCAAGTGAGTGAACTTTGGGATTAAAGGAAATGCCCAAGTAACCTACATCCCTGCTCTTACTTTTTCCTGCTGCTGGGTCTGGAGAGGAGCAGGAGTGCCAGCCTCTGCTGCTCTTCTGGAACACCAGCTTTTCCAGAAGTTTCTGTGTTCTCTAACATTGCCCATATCCCTGTTACCTGACATCCCTTGTAGGAGGCTCAAAGAATAAGTTGCTTCCTTAGAGTAAAGTTTTCCCTTGAGCTGTGTTTCCAGTAATGAGTCTGCAGGTGCTCCAGGACCGGGGTGGGCTGGGGGTGAGGGTAGACAGAGCTCAGGGACTCCTGCCCAATACCTCCCCAGTGACACATAGCACTTGAGACTTCCTTGCCCTTTGAACTTCTGTGCCCACTTGGCTGGCCTTTATCATCTCTTTGACACTGCTGGGATTTAAAAAATTAATTTGATTAAACCAAAATCAGACCTTCAGATTTAATTTGTATCTTTAGACAATGCTCACTGTAGTTTTTTAAAAATTTTATTTTTGCATGCTGGTGCACCCCCACCCCATTTTTGTTTTATTTTGAACACTTAAAAGAATTTTTGAGATAGTTTACATACAAAGCTTTTCTTCAAAAAAGCTGGTTTTGTGATGATTCTGTTTCTTTGTGTGTGTGTGTGTGGCTTTGTTAAGCAGGTACCTCAAAGTATGACTGTGTAGTGAATTCTGTTACAATTTTAATTAGTTTTAATTGTCTTAGTTACTAATTCCTTTGTCATGACCTAATTAATTCTTTACTAGGCAGAAAGAAATGTAGAGAATGTATTAACTTGGTTAATTCTTTTTTAGCTTTCATGGAAATGATCACAGGCATGAGGGATGGAAAAAAAACAGCAGTTCAGAGTCAGACCAGAGAGGAGAGGGGTTCTATAAAACATAAAACCAGAAAGTCTTCTCCAAGCTGTAAAGTCCTTACTGGTTTCAAAAGCAAACTGCAGTTCTTCCAAGAACATAAAGTAATTCAGTCATTCAAAACACTCCCTGAAGCTTGAGGAATACTTAAATGAAATATTAAGCTTCAAATGGGTTACAAAGTCCTAAAATTGATGCAGAATCTCCCAAAATCAGTGTTAAGATTTTCTAAAATGAATCAGTTCCAAAATGCACCCCCACCACCACAAATGCCAATAGGATGTCAGAAGGGGGAAAAGGCTACTTGACGGGGATGTAAAAAACTCACAATAAAGAGTTTCATTTTAGGCAGATTGCTCATTAGGCCAGTTGCCCAGCAGCCTCGAGGTAGTTGCAGCTAAACAGAATGCTGGTCCAGAAACTACTCACAGAGTAGCTGCCTCTTCCTCCTCATTTTAATTGTTCTCATGCATATGTATCTTTGCCGAAAAGCTATTTAAAATCTCATGAGACAGTGGGTGGCCTGGAAATGATGAATTAAACATTAGGTCAGGTTGCATTAGTTCACATCCGAATCTGTCCTGTTGCAGAGAACAGCCCATCTTCACCACCCGTGCGCACGTCTTCCAGATCGACCCCAGCACCAAGAAGAACTGGGTGCCTGCAAGCAAGCAGGCCGTCACTGTTTCCTACTTCTACGATGTCACCAGGAGCAGCTATCGAATCATCAGCGTTGATGGGGCCAAGGTACTGCCCTGCCAGACGGCTTTGACACCCTCTCTCAGTTTTATTCCAAAGCAATATGGTACATTTGAAAGATGAAGGGAAAAGCTGTATCCCCAACCCTACGGTCTTACCACAGAGCGTACCATAATTCCTATATGACCACACATCTTGCTCTTCGTTTTCCACCTAAAATTGTGACAAATGAGTAAGAAACAGATTTCCCTGTTACCTCACTGTCTTCGTAATTAACATTTTAATGCTGGTGCAGTGACTACATTAAGGACCTATAATGATCTTAATTTCTCTACGAAGTCTTCAGTTTCTTGCTGTTACAGATATTAAGCATGCCCATATAGTGAGTATCCTCAGTTGTTCATTATATACCTACTGCTTCCTTTTGAATGTCTCCTTGGGGTAGATTCCTATAGGTACTGTTATAGGTCATGCTGTTAACACTTTACAGCCCTGGATGCATACAGCCAGAGCCCTTCCCAAAGGGTTCTTTTTTTTTTTTTATAGCCTGGATGAGGATGCCAGGTTATTGTAACCTTGAAGTCTATCAGTATTTCCTCTAATCTGCTTCTGGCATTATTAAACATGGGAACCAATTTGTATTAAATAATGTATGAGTTTTTATTTTCTTTCCTTTTCTTTTAGAGCAGGTTGTTGTTATGTAGCCCAGGCTATATGTGAACTCAAGGCAATCCTCCTGTCTGTCTCCTGTGTACTGGAATTATAGGCATGTATTATTGTTATTTGATTCAGCTTTACCTACAGTACTTTTTTATTCCTGGTATTTCATTGTTTTGCTTTCCCTGTATGCATTTTACCACATTATTTGTGGAAAAAGAATGAAGGGATGCCAACAAAAGTACGACCATGTCTGTAGTGTTTATGTACTGTCTGTATTCTCTGTCCGCTGTGCTAATTTTTTTCTCTATGATGTCAACTGAAATTCAGTGTGTTTGGAGGTAAATCCTGTTTACCATCTAAACCACTTCTCTTTTTATTTTCTAGTATTTGGATTTAAAACCAAGCAGAGTTTGTCTTTTTTTTTTAAACTGTAACTCTTGCCAGGCAGTGGTGGTGCACACCTTTAATCCCACACTCAGGAAGCATAAGCAGGAGAACCTCTGAGTTCAAGGATAGCCTGGTGTACAGAGTGAGTTCCAGAACAGCCAGGGCTACACAGAGAAACACTGTCTCAAACAAACAAAAACAACAAACAAACCCATAACTCTCGTAGTAGCACCCTTGGAGCATCCCTTGGCTGGTGGCTCCTCATCTACTGTCTGTGGTCCCTTGGGGATTCTGCCTCTTGGTCAGCCTTCCTAGACAACAGGAAGTAAAGAGTTGAGAACTGAGCAGTAGTGTCTCCATTAGACGACCCCCAGGCAAGACATGAGACCCACCAGGGCCTTCACAAAGATGCAGCCCCCAGCTTCCCTCTCAGTGTCTCCTTTGAGCTGAGCATGATGTCTAGAGATGAAGGTGAGTGGTCTCCTGGTCCTTTCCTTCTCTCTCAAGCCAAGGACCCAGAATGTCCTCATTTTTTAAAAGCTGAGGTCTAGGTGCAGGTAGTGAGATATGCTCTGGGGACCTGTGACAAGCTGGTGTCTAGCCTCTACACCAACAGGTCCTGATTTGCCGGGTTGGTGCACGGTTCACTCTGGCAACCACAGAAGCGTTCCCTGACATTTTCAGGCAGAGACTGTGTGGCCCCAGTCATTTCAGAGAATAGCAGTTGGTCAAATGTACATCTTGTGACACTAAAGAAATGGTTCTCCAATCTCAGCAGCTGAGATAGACCACTGGGGACGTGGTAATGGGTGGCCAGCCTCAAGGAAGTATGCCTCGGTTGTAAAGAAGGACTATCTGAAAGAAGCCTAGATTTGAAAGTTTTATCTTATTTTTGCTTCTGGGAGGCACAGTGGGACTGCAGTTGTAATTACCACTCCTCTGTGCTTCTGAGCTGGAATCGCCTGGGCTCTTTCCAGGGTGTTCTGACAGGGATGGAGAACGGAGCTGACCTGCTTTCTTTCATCTGTAGATTCTGTCAGTACAACTGCCATCCTTAGGTGGGTTTGTATTCCTGTCAGTTGAGTTATCTGAGGATTTATTGGGCTTAACTATAGATAAAACAGCATCTTTACAGCCAGTGCGTTGGTTATTAGCTAAACTTTTAGTAATTTGTCAGACTGTCAGCCACGGTATCATTATACCTCTGTGGTCTCTGCAAGCTGTGGCAGTGTGGTGGAGTCCAAGCCAGCTCTGAGGAGTCAGATGGGTGCGGGAAGGGGAGCTGTGGGGAGCTGTGTGCTGATTGTCTAATAGAGGGAGCTCAGGCCTAGTGTAGGATGTTCATTGAGTTAGAGAGGCACTCCGGATGTGGGGATTGGAAATGTAGACTGTGAAGTACCACTGAAACTCAGAGGCTGAACCAGAGCTTCTCCAGCTACTAGAGTTCCAGATTTACCACTGCAGCACAGAGAGCTGTGGCAGAGCCTGGCTTGGCAAAGGGAATAGAAGGCAAGGGAATGTGGGGATGGGTTAGCCTTACTTAGCTACTGCCTCTCGTCCAGGAGCTGGGGACAGGGTATGCCCTGTCTCAATAGTACTAGATGCAGTTTCAACATTACCACAGTCCCGCCAGACCCTCCCTTGACCCAGCAGCAAGTAAGATGGACAGGCTGCTTCCAAGTGAACCTGCTTCCAGTTCCCATTGTTAGGTGGGCCGTGGAAACAGGACCTTAGATCATAGTAGCTATTACCACCCAGCTTGCCCTTCTCTGCCCAATCTGAAGTCTGGATGTCTTGAGCCGCATCTCCTTCCCCATCTGAATACTCTTGATTTCTTGCCTGCCTTCCTTCCTGTGGTGGCAATGCAGTAGTGTGCTGAGGGGATAGTCAGACACCTGTGCTGACTTGAGGCTGCCACTTCTTGGCACAGCATCTCTGTGCAATCAGAGTGGCTTGTTTCTCCTGATTTTTGAACATTCATTGTGGTTCCATGTTCACTTAGGCCTTACATTCTGTAAACCATGCATCCATGGTCCAGATACCTTCTTGTAGGTTGACCACTCAAGCATGGATGTACCCATTCCCTGTGGAAATATGGCTACCTTGTTACTCCTTCATAATTGTGTTCTCCACCACATGAGAATGACTATTTTGTTTAAGGCCTTTGATAGTAAATGTTGATCTGAACTGGGAACCATGTCTCAGTTCATGGGCCGTATCTCAATTACCTGCAGCATGCCTGGTCCTTCTTGTCTTTCTTGGCCTGGACATAGTCAGACTCATGGCCTCAAGCTCCTGCTTGGCACGTGTAGGCCAAGTGTGCCTCCCAAAGCTCAGGGTATTGCTTACTGGAAAAGCATACTTGTCTTGTCCCTCTTGGATGGAATAGATGCACTTTAGTCACAAGTTGCTGGATGGAAAGGGACTCGAAGGCCACACCAGATGCAGTGGCTGTATGAACTCTGCTGTGGAAGAGCAAGGCTCTCCTGTTGTCCTGTCGCAGGCAGTGCAAGTGCCTGTCCCCTGTGGTGCACAGAGGGCCTCACCTACCCAAGAGCAAATGGACTGCTCTCTCGATGGTGATTTAATTCTACCCTGATTCTTGTTTTTCTTGAAACATGAAGACAATTCCTTTGCTCAGGGACAGTATAGCATTCCCTTCCAGTTTGACCTAAAGACATGGCCTGCTGAGAACCCTGCTGGCTGGTACCTCAGCATTTCTCAAGCCCCAGGAAGTGATGTGGATCCTGTGTGTGTGTGTGTGTGTGTGTGTGTGTGTGTGTGTGTGTGTGTGTGTGTGTGTGTGTGTGTGTGTTCATGGTTGATGGACAGATGTGGGCCACAGAAGTATAGAGCCCGATTTCCAGCTTTTAAGAGCACTGCTGGAAGCCACGGCTAGCATAACAGCCACGAGGTTGTGATGAGCTTTGCACAGAATGGCCAACTCCGTTCTGAAGAAGCTCCATTACCAAAGCATCTGTTACCTGAGCCATTGCAGCCTCTATTTCAATGTGGTTTTGGCACTCTGTGTGGACCAAGTTAATCACTGCCATCCCTTATGAGACGCTGCCTGGCCCTGTGGGCAGGACTTGCCTGGCACAGGTGCTTCTCTCTCGCTCAGGGACTCTGGACAACTCTTCTGCCCTTGGCTCCTGGTTATTTATAGGATCACAGAAAACCTACATTAGCAGAGACCTGTGAGGTCTTCCGTTCTACAAATATTTAGCAGTGCTCACAGTGCCAAAAGTTCTGCCTGACCATGTTAGTTCAAAGGATAGAAACAGCTAAAATCCTAGAATACATAGGGTATTTTAGGAATGTAAAGTTGCTTTCAAGAGCACAATCAGGAGACGGTGAGACAGATCAGTAGGGAAGAGTACTTGCTGCCAGTCATCGAAGTCTGGCTGTCTTCCCTGAGACCCCCATGATCAAGGCAAGAATCAGCTACCAAAGTTGTCCTTTGACCTCCATAAATGCACAGCAGCTTGCATGGACTCTCTCTCTCTCTCTCTCTCTCTCTCTCTCTCTCTCTCTGTCATGCAGACACACACACACACACAGATGTAATAGTAAAAAGCAAAAACACTGGCTCCCATCTTCCATCCACCATTATCATTTCCTCTTGAAAAAATGTTGAGCTGCTCTGTTAGGAGATTGAGTTTCTGGAATGTTCCTACCCCACAGTAGGTTTTCTATGAATGTTAGGTTCTTTTCTTCCATCTCTGAGGCACAAAGGAGAGAAGGGATGAGGAGGGAAGCATCTTGCTAATCCCCGTTGGGAGCAGACAGCCCTTTTTTTTTTTTTTTTTTTTTTTTTTAATTGCTGTAGCTCTCGTGGAAAGCTGAGTCCTTTCAGCCTCCAGCTTCCTGAGCTTGGTAATGTCCTCTTCCTGGCTGGCCTTCTTCTAAGGCCTTGTCAGTGTTTGAGGCATCCTAAGAAAACTCCAGTGACCTGCAGGGACTACATCTCTAGCAGGACACCATTCCATGTGGACGTTTCA